TAAAAGCATTTACATTTATGCATGTGGCAAATGCTTTTATCCAAAGCAACTTACATTGCATTCAATTGTATTTTATCAGTTCATGCATTCCCTGGGAATCAGACGCACACCTTGACGATGCTAAAAGCACGTACCAATTTAAAATATAATATTTCATTTTTTTTGGTGGCTTATTAAAGGAGTGCTAAGTTTTACTATGTCCTACCATAATAAAATCCATTGCCCTGAATATTGCAGATTTTATGTAGGTATGTTTTAAGGTCAAGCAGGCATAAAACCATTGTTGATTTTGTTGGCCTGATCATAATAGTGACTTTCTCTTCATTAACTAGCGCAGCAGATCTGAGCCTTCTTCATCTGGATTGCCCCTCCCCCTGTCACAGAAGTAGGCGGAGCTCTGTCTGTTTACCCGATTCTACGCTAAGCATTGAACTCTGTGCCAATGATGTAGCTCGCCATGGCAATGAGGTAGCTCAACAATACAATGCAAAAATACAACTCTCTCTCTATTCTGACACTAGAGCTGACGTGGATTTAATGGCTGTCATTGACTATGATTCAGAGACAGGAACTCCTGTTTGTGTTGTTGATGTGGATATCAGTCCAAGATTCTCTTGGTAGGCTTCTCTAGCTTTATTAAAACATCTGGCAAGTTAGGTCGTAATCATAGGTTTATACAAAAACTCCAATGAATCTGAGAGCAATTTCAAAGTTGAACTTGCATTAATTTTACATGGCTTTCTAAACATGCCGCTCTTTTGTGCGAGACGCAAGTGCAACGGTGATAGATGTCCCTCTAGAAAATGCGCGAAATATGCGTTCTGTGTGAACGGCTTGATTTCAGTTTTGACGTAAACAACATCTTCGCCGCATTGATGTTCTCTTTTCCCACAATATTTGTCATTAACAATGCAGCAGTGCCGCATCCAGTGGCTTCAACTGGATAGACTAACAAAAACATTCAAATGCAACGACACTTACTTCGTCATCGCATCTTGTGCGCTTTTTTTTTCTTTCTGTACTTTTTTCTGTAATTTTTATAATTTAAATAATAATTAAAATAGCATTTTTAATAATTATGATGATGATTAAATACTTATTTTGTACAATACACTAGTATTAGCCTCTTGTGTATTTTCATACCACGCAGGAGGGCTACAGCTCGTCCACAACACGGTTACAGCGTCTGCTGGCTGAGTCTCAGGAAATGGTGGCAAGTTTGGAAAGTTCTACCAAGAACTCTGTCAGCCCAACGAAACCTCAGAGCCCAATGAACTGCGATGCCATTTGTCACCTCCAAAGTAACCATGGCAACCGCAGCCACTCCCAAACCTCCACCCAAACACATGGGGTACCTATTACATCACAAAACTCATTTACATAACAGTTTAATGCATAGTATGCTTCAAGATGAAACTGCAGCTAAATGCCATTTTCTCCTTATTGTCCTAAAGGAAAGTGACTCCCAGATCGAAAGCAGCCCACGTTTGCATCAAGGAAGCAAGTAATGTGGTCCATAAAGCCACGAGAAGCAGCGAATCCCCGTTTACTTCCATCTTCTCTACAGCTTCTGAAAATAAATCAGTTCTTTGCAACCAAAGAGGAGTTTTGTGAAGCTAACAAGTAGTTTTTACAGATGCTATAGTTTTAAATTTGTATCCAAATCTGTTTATGATATGTGTATAAAAATAAGCATTAATGATTAATGCTACAGAAGCACTACCTCTGAACAATGTTAAGACTGTCGTTATTTATAAACCACTTTCTTCAAGTGTTAAACCTGTCATACAAGATGACACAATGGTGCTGGTTGTTTTTTTGTCATTCCAGTTTCACTGTCATCGAACCTGTTTGGTTTCAAAGATAACGAACTGTGATGTGGCTCTTGTCCTGATCATTGTTTTACACCTGAAATGCAGTCTTGTTCTCACAATAAGGACAAGGAGCCACAGGCCTTTTCAAAAGCCACTGATATTTGCCTAATCTCAGGACATTTGAAAGAACAATAAAGGTCTTTACATGCTGTCATTAACTTTTTTCTTTTAAATGGTCATTTTGAGTGACTTTTATTTTAGTGTTTATTTGTATTTTATATCTATCTATCTATCTATCTATCTATATATATAAACAAGTAGGTCATGGTTTAAGTATTTGGAATATTTAATGTTTTTACTGTTTTTTTTGTGGAATATTTTTTTTGTTGACTGAAATACAGTTTCAGATTGAGTAAACGCCGTTCATAGAGCGCGTGTGAGGTAACTCACCTGTATGTGACTCGTTGACGTGACAGGTATAGAGTGTGTGTGTGTCAGGACTCGGTCATTTGTACACATCTGGTTTCATCTGAGGAAGGAGTTAAACATGGCCACAAAGAAAACCGAATCGAAGAAAAACGAGAAAACGGATAAATCTGAAAAAGCTTTAGCTGCAGAAAAGGAGCAATTCGTCAAACTGCAGGTGAGAATGACGCCCGCGCACATATTTACTTCATTCAACGAGTATTTGATTTTTAGTGGTCGTTTATATATATATATATATACTTAATAGAAAAATCTAAAACCTTTGGTGTTTTCCTTTTAATTTCAATGATAAGGTGGTAATATGACAAAAACGCCTGATAAATAGACGATTTATTAGGTGTTTTTGTCAAATTACCTTATCTTTGAAACTATTTAAAATAGTTCTCCACTTTTAAATCCTCACATTTTATCGCTTGGAATCCCCGCGAAATTTATGTTAATTGCATATACGTGTCGCCGAAAAACAATCGCCATTATGTTTTAAAAACATTGTTTTAATGTACATTCCTTGTTTTTTGGACATGCGCCATTATAATGCCATGTTTTTCGATATGTGATAATGCTGGTTATGTTATGTACCACAGTAATAACGTGTTTGATAGTCACTATAATCTTTTTTGGACATGTGCCATACATGTCCAAAAATTTTTTGTATGGAAGTGTAACATTGTAGTCCAATGTCTTTTACCATAGTAATATGGATATGGTATTGTATTATTATATTACCAAAAACTGAACTGCTATGTAAATACATGTAAGATCAGACTCAGATGATCATCCTGGCTGCAATTATTTATTGGTTATTAATTTGTGCTTCACTTCATTGTGATGTGTATTATTTAATATTTTAAACAATATTAATTTACATTATAGGTGTGCATCATTTATTGTGTTTAATTAATGATGTTATGTCAAATCTCCATTTCATCTGCTTTACAGCTTCAAAGCATCACCAAATCCATCACCAATGTGGAGGCCCCTATCAAAGAGAAATATGGACGCAGTATCCTTTAGTATTGGTTTAATGCAGCATCTTCATGTTTATAATAATGTTCATTGTGTGTTATAGTGAGCTTGCCCAGGTGTTACAGTCACAGCATGTACTTTATCAGTCAATCGGTCAAATTTAGTTGTGTAACGCTTTTCATTAATGTATAGTATTAATGTTTATAATATCGTAATATCTTCATGCCTTATAGTTGCATTTAGCAGAATCACAGCTGGGTGATAATATAGTTTACATTTTACTGCAATGTAAACACTCAAGCAATTGAGATTTGCTATATTCTATATATAGCTTTATGTGAGTGTACTCTATGTATATGGATAAAGTTGGATTTAGTTATATATTTCCAACTGTATATAAAGAGCTGGGTGATAATCTAGTTGCATTTTAAGATACAATAAAAATTCAGGCATTTTAAATTTGCTATTTAGCAAATGTTATGAATCATCTTTGCTAAATATCATCTGGATTTGTACATTGTCCTTAACTTTTGCACAGATATCATTTTAGGCACACATAAGGAAGGCGGTGCCGTCACGTTCTGGTCTCATGCCGTGAGTCTGCCGCTGTCCAGTAACGCCATCCTCAGCTGGAAGTTCTGCCACGTGGTGCACAAACTGCTTCGAGACGGCCATCCTAACGTCAGTCTCATCTACCACAGTATCATCAGATGAAAATGACTTTCATTTGACTTTATTTGTCTAAAACTACCCTACAAATATAAATTGATGTCTTTCTTGTAGACTTTACGAGACAGCAGAGGTCACACCGCAAGCATTAGACAGATGGGAACATTATGGGTGAGTTCGAAATGATCTGGATGTTTTTCTGTTGAGCAAGTCATTTACATCATCTTTCATCTGAAACTTTCAGCTTAAATTTTGTATGTGTTTGCTGTGTTTTAGGGGAATCTACATGATAGATATGGACATATTGTTGCACTGTATGCCAAGCTGCTGTGTGTTAAAATCGATTTCCATTTAAAGGTAAGTTTAATCCTTCCTTCATTGACATATGAGTTAAAAAATATCTGTCTGTCTGTCTGTCTATCTATCTATCTATCTATCTATCTATCTATCTGTCTATCTATCTATCTATCTATCTATCTATCTATCTGTCTGTCTATCTTGTTTCCACCACAGCATCTGGAAATCCCACCAAACCTTGAAGCTCCTGAACAGGTTCTTGATAAAGCCATCGCCATTGATATTAACAAAGTGTAAGTACATCGCTAATGATTTCAGTGAGCTTGAATAATCTGTTGATGTAAATTAATTACTCATGATTATTGTATTTACAGGTTTGACATGACAGGTGAGGTTCTGGAGTACATGGAAGCAGCTCTAAAGCTGCAAGAAACAGGTAAACATAATGTTTTACCCCAAAAATGCTTTTTTAATGCTTTCTGATTCATTACTTACACATTAATTTGATCAAAAGTGACAGTAAAGACATTTATAAAGTTACAAAAGAGTTCCATTTCAAGTGCTGTTTTTCTTTCTACACATCAAAGAATTCTGAAAAAATGTATCACGGATTGCACGAAATATAAATAAATAAGTATAATGTGACACTGAAGACTGGAGTAATGATGCTGAAAATTCAGCTATGCATTACAGGAATAAATTACATTTTAAAATATATTCACATAGAAAACAGTTATTTTAAATTACTGCATTTTTGATCAAATAAATGCAGCCTTGGTGAGCAGAAGAGACAGTGTGTGTATAAAAATTTTTTTTTACTTTTTAAATGCAGTTTTCCGGCAGATGGAGTCCAGCTCCACCAGCTCTACCACTCCTGTGGGTCAGTGCCGTTTGGCACCGCTGGTTCTCGTCATCCAGGACTGCGGTCCGCTCTACCATTTCCTGGTCAAGCTCTTGTTCAAGCTACACAGCCGTGAGTCTTGTTGTTTACATGCTGCTCTCTTCATTTATATGCATCATTTTCATTGAGTTTACCAGCGCTGTGCATCTGTGTCACAGGAATACCGCTGGACGCTCTGTTAGGACACAGGGAACGATTCCGTGAGCAGTTCAACAGGTAACGGTGGACTGCAGTATTATGTAAGAATGCACCGACATAGAAATTTTGTCCAATAGCAAAAGCAGAAAATTGTTTTTGTTATTGCCACTGACTAATATATATTTATTCATATATAAAAGCACTGTTTTCTGTTTGAGTGCACATTATTGTAATTTATTTCTGTAATGCAAAACTGAATTTTCAGCATCTTCAGTGTCACATGATCCTTCAGAAATCATTCTAATATGCCGATTTGCTGCTCAATAAACATTTCTTATTATTATCAATGTTGAAAAGAGTTGTGCTGCTTCATATTTTCATGAAAACTGTGATACATTTTTTTTATGATTCTTTGCTGAATAGGAAGTTCAAAAGAACAGCATTTATTTATAGTGCATTTACATATACTAATTTGGCAGGTGCTTTTATTCAGTTAAATTCACAAAATGTAAAAGTGAAGTTCATGAAATTACTGCTGCTTTGAGTAGTTTTTGGTCTGTCTTTGTCCTCCACAGTTTGACGCAGTTTTTTGAGAGAGCGAGAGGGATGGAATTTTTCAAATCTATCATTCAGATTCCTGATCTTCCCGATGTAAGATCTTTACATTTTGAATTTCAAGTCGTGTTTACTGAAAACGTGGTATGAAATAAACAATATTGACAGATGGCGTAAAATGCTGAACAGATGAATATATGCATATGAATGTTGTAGGAGCCTCCAAATTTCCTGCGTGCGGCTTCATTTGCTGATCACGTGAAGCCTGTGGTCGTTCAGAATGAGACATTCCCTGACTACGATGATACGGATACGCAGCTGGATTTTGGTGAAGGAAACTATCAGATGGTAAAAACAACCTGGATTGGTCAAGCCTTGTAGATTGGCTCAGAGAAAGTCTTACTAAGTGCTTTTCCACATTTGTGACAATTTTAACATTTGATTATTTTGTTCAACAGTATTACGGATACAACCAGTTTGACCCTCCAACTGACATACCAGAGCAAAGGTATCATACCACTTTATGAAAGAAAGCTCACAAATTAGATCTATTTAACTATTTATCCGTTTTTCTTTGGCAACAGTTAGACTAAATGGAGAGCAAATGCAGACTTCTAGAGTTTCAGAAGATCTCAACAATATCTCAAACTGTGCTCAGATTTGTCAGAGATCTAAATATGAACTCAATATTCTCATTTTCAGTTCTCATCAACTTCTTCCAAAATCACGTGAACTGAAATAGATAAATATTATAGTTTCTTTGTATGAATGAGAATTTATTCATATATCTTCAGTTTTTACTTTCATTGTAGTTAAATCGTTTGTAATTTTGTTGTGTTTTTGTTATTTTTATTGCTATTATTTTTTTTTAAATGTCTATAGTTTCTATATATTATTTAGATTATTTAGTTTGAGTTATTTTAGTAATTAAACTTAAATTAAACAAAAATGAGCAATGATGTCTTTTAGCTGAAATAAAATAAGTAAACATTTATTTATATAGCACCTTTCAAAACAAAGTTACAAAGTGCTTTACAATAAAAAGATCAGTGCAGTAACAAAATACAAAAAATACCATCAAAATTAAGATAAAGCCATACAATAAAAATGAGTCTTAAGAAGGAACTTAAAAGAGGATACAGTAGGAGCCTGCCTAATATCCCCAGGCAGGGAGTTCCATAGCTTAGGCGCATGGATAGCAAAAGCGTGGTCACCTTTGGTAACAAGTCGAGATTTTGTAACCATTAATAGGGCCCTACCGGAGGATCTCAAGCAGCGATCAGGCTCATAAGGAATTAATAAATCAGAAATATAGGCAGGAGCCTGACACTTCAAGGCCTTACAAGCAAGCATCAAAATCTTAAAATCAATTCTAAAACTCCAACCAGTGAAGAGCAGCAAGAATCGGTGAAATGTGGTCACTTTTCTTAGTATGTGTTAAAAGCCTAGCAGCAGCATTTTGAATCAGCTGCAATCTTAGGAGATTTCACTTGCTGATACCAGAATAAAGTGCATTACAATAATCAAGTCTGGAAGAAATAAAAGCATGAATGACCTGTTCCAAATCTGCCAAAGAAAGGAATGACTTTATCTTCGTTAGTTGCCTTAGTTGTGCAAAACAAGACTGCACCACTTTAGTCATCTGAACATCAAAGGACAGTTCTGAGTCAAAAACAACACCTAAGTTGCGAGCCTCTTTTCGAACATTATTAGATAAGGCACCCAGACTAGAGGAGAGATTATTAATACTAGCGCTACTGGGGACTCATGAGGTAATTATAAGCACTTCTGACTTAGAGTCATTCAACTGCAGAAAATTTTTCGACATCCAATTTTTGATTTCGATGAAGCATGACATAATATGGGATGTATCAATAATACCAGGCTTTACCGGGACATACAATTGCGTATCATCTGCATAGCAGTGGAACTCAATGTCATAACTGCGCATAATTTGACCCAGGGGTAACATGTAGATAGTAAACAGAAGGGGACCCAAAATAGATCCCTGAGGGACCCCACAAAATAAAGGAGCACGAGAAGAGGAGGCATCTCCAAGCACTACGGAAAAATACCTATTCGACAAATAAGAAATAAACCAATTCAGAGCTACATCTCTGATACCAACATAAGTTTTTAAACGGTTGATCAAGACATTATGGTCCACTGTGTCAAAGGCTGAGCTAAGATCAAGAAGGATTAAAATGGAGTACAAGCCAGCATCGGCTGCAAGCAGTAGGTCATTAGCAACCTTAACCAGAGCAGTTTCAGTGCTATGTTGGGAGCGGAAACCAGACTGAAATTTTTCAAAGATTAAATTATTATTCATATACGAAATCGGTTGCATTGACACAACTTTTTCTAAGATCTTTGATAGAAATGGAAGCTTAGAAACAGGTCTAAAATTACTTAAATTGGAGGGGTCTAGAGAAGCCTTCTTTAATAATAGATAAATAGTGGCATGTTTAAAACATGCGGTAAAAATGCCAGAAGACAAAGAACAGTTAATAATAGCTAAAATATCTGGACCAACCGTGTGAAATACAGCTTTTAAAAACCAAGTAGGAAGGCAGTCAGAAGGACAGGAGGAATTTGAAAGTACAACAATGTGTTCCAAGGTAGACAAAGAGATTTTATTAAAATGAGTAAATGTTGAAGGTGGACATGAATCAACATTAATACCAGAATAAAGTGCATTACAATAATCAAGTCTGGAAGAAATAAAAGCATGAATGACCTTTTCCAAATCTGCCAAAGGAATGACTTTATCTTCGTTAGTTGCCTTAGTTGTGCAAAACAAGACTGCACCACTTTAGTCACCTGAACATCAAAGGACAGTTCTGAGTCAAAAACAACACCTAAGTTGCGAGCCTCTTTTCGAACATTATTAGATAAGGCACCCAGACTAGAGGAGAGATTATTAATACTAGCGCTACTGGGGACTCATGAGGTAATTATAAGCACTTCTGACTTAGAGTCATTCAACTGCAGAAAATTTTTCGACATCCAATTTTTGATTTCGATGAAGCATGACATAATATGGGATGAATCAATAATACCAGGCTTTACCGGGACATACAATTGTGTATTTTTTATGATTATGTAATGAATGAAATGTTCAGAAGAACAGCATTTATTTGAATTATGAATCTTCTGTAACATTATAAATGTCTTTACTGTCACTTTTGACCAATTTATTTAATCCTTTCTCAATAAAGAAAAAAAAACCTTACTCACTCCAAACTTTTGAATGGTAGTGAATTTACTCATAATTATTCAAAAACAACAGAAATTGTACATTATCCATTGACAATCAGGTTAGATGATTTAATTGAAACTAGTGCAGATAATCTCAAAAATATCTGCTGATTTATTGGCCTGGCTGAAATATCCACCTGTCATTAACTGAACTGAACTGCATAATTTGACCCAGGGGTAACATGTAGATAGTAAACAGAAGGGGACCCAAAATAGATCCCTGAGGGACCCCACAAAATAAAGGAGCACGAGAAGAGGAGGCATCTCCAAGCACTACGGAAAAATACCTATTCGACAAATAAGAAATAAACCAATTCAGAGCTACATCTCTGATACCAACATAAGTTTTTAAACGGTTGATCAAGACATTATGGTCCACTGTGTCAAAGGCTGAGCTAAGATCAAGAAGGATTAAAATGGAGTACAAGCCAGCATCGGCTGCAAGCAGTAGGTCATTAGCAACCTTAACCAGAGCAGTTTCAGTGCTATGTTGGGAAAATACGTTTATTTTATTTTATTTTATTGTTTATTTTATTTTGTTTCAAGTAACAATTTTTTTTGCTTTAAAATTTTTACTTTACAATTTTACTTTTTTTTTATTTGCTTTAGTTTTAGTTAATGATAATAACCCTGATGTAGACATGACTTATTTGTGTAAAAGGGAGTTTTAGGAGAAAAAAAATCTAAAACAAAGCTAGAAGTCAATCAAATGTTTGGTTGCACTTTTCACTGAAATTACGTTTCTTATGATCGTTAAAACCTTTTAATCTGATGTTTAAAATAGTTTTGTACACAAAGATAAGTTGTGTTATTTCATAGTTTTGATGACCTTACTATTATTCTAAATTGTGGATAATAGTGACATAATTAAAGAACAAATTGGTGTCCAAATGTTTGAAATTTCTTTTCATTTGATCTATTAACGCTCACACAGAGAGACCGAGGCTGATACTCTGAGGAAGGAACTTGAGGTGGTGAAACCAGAGCTGGAGCTCATAAAAGTGGAGGTTAGACTTTTGTCTTTATTTACATCTGTCTTGAGAAGTGTTTTCTTATCCTGTGATTGATTCCCATCATCCGTGTGTCTGCAGGCCCAGCGTGCCGTGGTCCAGCTCAAATCTCAGGTCAATATACTGGAATCTGAGCTTGAGGACCAGCGGACGCACAAGCAGATGGCGCTGGTGGAGAACGAACGTCTGCGCATGGAGGTGGAGAGCCTCAGAGTACAGACCGCAGTCGCTGCCAGCATACAGGCCACGGTCGAGGACGCGGGCAGTGAGTGACCTCTGACCCCAGATTCAGATACACAACATATATGCTACTGTTTGTTTGTTTGGAAGAAATTAATATTTTATTCAGCAAGGATGCAGTAGATTGATCAAAAGTGAAAGACAATAATGCCACAAAATATTTTTATTTTAAATAAATGCTGTGCTTTTCAAGAATCCTGAACAAAAATATATAATGGTTTCCAGCACAACTGTTTTCAACTCTGATAATCATAAGAAATGTTTCTTAAACAGCAGATCAGCATATTATAATGATTTCTGAAGGATCATGTGACACTGAAGACTGGAGTAATGATGCAGAAAATTCAGCTTTGCATCACAAGAATAAATTACATTTTAAAATATATTTGAAAAGAAACCAGTTACTTTGAATCAAGATAATATTTCATAATATGACTGTGTTTACTGTATTTTTGATCAAATAAATGCAGCCTTGGTGAGCATAAGAGTCTTCTTTTGAAAACATTTTTAAAAAATCTCCTTTTTCAAACTTTTGAATGGTAGTATGAATGAAAATCTCTTGTTCTCATGTTTTCTAGGCAGAGCTCAGACTGCTCAGATACATTTCACTCGACTCAAAGAGAAACACGCTGAGCTGGTTAGCAAACATGCTGATCTCATGCGGAAGGTAAAGAGAATTTTGTGCTGCTTTCCTCACATAAACAGTGCCAGTAAATTTGTCACTCACAGCATCAATTACACGATATGTGATCCTCCAGTACAATTATACTTTGACACATTGTGATTGTCTTCCTCAAATTTCTGTTATGGCCTAATGTGAGGAATATTCCCCAAATATGTTGCCACAAGGAGTTCTGCAGAAAAAAGTATCTAAACTTAAGATGGTGAAATGTCTTTGCCATATGGTTATTGTCATTGTTAATGGTCATGATTTTCTGTGTCAGAATACAGAGATGGTGAAGCAGCTCAGCAGCACTCAGCAGGTGCAGGAGGAGCTGTTCACATACAAACAGCAGATGGCAGTAGAGGTGGAACAACAGAAACAGGACAACAGCTCTAAGGTCACACTCCACTCATTTATGTTTACATACCTGTCAACCCTCCCGTTTTTCCTGGGATTCTCACGTATTTTACCAGTATATCCCGCTATCATCCCATTTAAATATGTTCCTGTATTTCTCCCGTATTTTTAATCTTTCTATAAAAAACAAAAAATCACACTGGGCGTATTTTATATGTTTGCTACATTCGCTTCCGGTAAAACTCCCGTAATTTGTATGGGCCAAACCTCATTATATGAATAATCACGTCAACAAATTCCAAGGTTGTCCAGTTGCCAGATCTTGTATGAAACGCATCTTTCTCACACAATCAACGCATACAAATTTCAACCCATTTGTCCCCTCAACTTGGCAACCTACAACAGTGATGCTATTGACATGTGCACGGTAGTACCGTGGGAAGGAAACAATGATCACTGGTAGAAATGGGAGAAGACTCAGGTGGTGCTCCAGTGAAAAAAAAACTAAATATACATGTAAATTGAGATATAGCTTACACT